AAGTACCCGAAGAAGAAAAAAAAAAAAAAAAAGTGTAATCTTCGTCGAAGCCTTGGGAGGGTTGGTTTTTAAAAAAAAAAAAAAAAAAAAAAAAAAAAACTCTTAAAAAAAAAAAAAAAAAAAAAAAAAAACTTCCCCTGTTGCAAGTGGTTAGTCACTAATAGTCAGGCAAGTGACAGCGACAGCAGCAAGGCAAAGGCAAGGCAAGGCAACCAGGCACCAGACAGCAAGCAACGACAAACCAGGAAGGCTGGATGGGCGTGGGGGATGTCGGTGGGCAGCGAAACGAGAAGGCAAGAAGCAGGGCAGCATGATGAGCAGCAGGCAACAAGGCAGCAAAGCAACAAAACAGCAAGGTAACAGGTACTAAGGCAGCAAGGCAGCGAGGCAGTGAGGCACAGCAAGGGACAAAGCGGATGCGAAGCCAGGCAGCGAGGGCACACACATGGCAAAGCAGGAGGGCAAGCAAGCAGCGGGGCAGCACTGACAAGGCAATGACACAACGCGAGCGGAAGGGAGGTCACACATCAAGGCAGCACCGAAAAGGCAGTCTGTTCATACAGCATGAACAAAAGAACCACACCTACTCACCACAACCAGAACAACTCTACAGACTGTAGGTTCACACCACCATTGGAGCCAGAGAAGTCACTTTGACGAGCGTCTGTCATCATCAAGGGACTATGCAGACACGGGCATCATGAACATAGCAGGCCCCCTAATAGTGTTGCATTCACCCCGAATGAAAAGGCACACTGACTATTTGGCACAGGCTTTCACTTGGACCCAGAAGAGAAGCATAGGAAAAGACCAGAGAATGCACAAAATGGGCGAAATACATATGATCCTGGCCAATTTAGAAGTACACACTCATGAGAAAGTACAATGCCGTCCAATTGCAAAAAGAAATGAATGAACTTGAGAGGAGAGAGAGGGAAAGAAGAAGAAGATGATGATGAAAGAAAGGAGAAGAAGAAGAAGATGTACATCAGCAAAGACCAATGAGAATTCCATTCTTCTTCACCAACCACTCTCCTCCTCCTTGTCTCCTCCCCTCTTATTCAAACAAGAAATAATAGTAACAATGTTGAGTTGCTGAACCAGAATCAATGTCCGGATCCGTCTTCTACTGCATGTATCGCATGAGGTCCACCATAGCCATGGCCACCCTTCTTCCTTCTTCCACGGCCGAGGCTATGGCGGACTGTCAGGGCACTGCCCTGCTGTGCAAAGGACAGCACAAAGCAGCTATCGATGCTCTAGCTCAGTCCACTATGTCTGACTCTGCCTCGAAGCTTCTTGGTGTAGCTCTACCCCAACTGGGGCCTTCCAGATGCAGCGCCCACCAAAGTGATGAAGATGGCATCCACCATAGCCAGGTAAGTACCTCTGGCGATCCTCCTTCCTAGTCCCAGTCTTCTTCCTCCTCCTGTCCTTGCTCCTCCCCAGCAGCGGTGCTCTTGATGCTAGCGCTGCTCCAGCCAGCGCTCCAACCAGTGTGTCGCCAAACCTGCACACCGACAATGAGGAGCATTTCGCTCCTCCTGGAGATATAGCGGCCTGCTTGCCTCTTGGCGAGTGACTTCCTAGGCTGCAGGGCCTCCAAGCAACCGGTACCTCCTCCCATTCGGAGGGAAACATCATTGCTGACGCTGATAGTGCCAGTACAGACTCAGACTGGTTGGACTGGTACCCGCCTAGACCTAGCGAACAACTCTTGGGCCTCTAAAAATGCCAACTTTGTATTCTTCTGCGCGGCTTCGAGTACCCGGCACATCTACCTCTACCTGGTGTGGTACAGTCCTACCTGCTACGTGAGTGTTTTTCCGCTGCTTCAAGTGTCGCAGGCCTCCTTCCCCGTCACTTGAGTGTTTTCCCTGCGGCAACCATCAATGCCACAGCCACAAGTACCGGTCCTTTGGGCCTTCCACACGGACAAGTACCCTCGCGGGCCACACACACACTCAAACCGACAAGCACTCAGACAGGCATGCAGACCAGCAAGCATGCACACACTCAGACTTAGAAAAATCAACAAGGCATACATTCAATTGGCAAAACTCAGAAATCAGTTGTGTGTCTCAGTCCGTGTTTGGCAGGTCATTACACTACCCCCCTCTCAAGAGCGAGGTCCCTTCTAGCAAGTAACTCATCCTGAGTCCCTGACGAGCATAGCAAAGAGATTTCGTGCGTACTCAGTAGCAGTGAGTTTTGCAGAAATTTTTGGTACACCATTAGAGGTTATATGTCGTTCGTATGCTTTAACAACGCGAGGTGCACTGCGCAACAGTTTTCTTAGAGATCCAATAGAGGTCGTCCAACAAGTGGTACATGAAATACACTTGATATTGTCTGTTACGTACCTCCCCGTTGTGATCTTTAATTCTATCTATCTCGTGACCGCCATTGATTGCACGAGGGATCATATTCTCACGATATTTGAAGGTTTTAGCTTCGCGATATATAAACGACTTCGATGCATGAAAGACTGGGTACGTGCGCAGATGAGGAGGCATGACAATTACATACGAAGGACCAAACTTATCATCGCCAATCGCATCAAAGACTTCCCACGAACCATAATAGAGAGGGAGAAGTTTGCGTGACATCCCCTCTTCTTTCAAAAATTCAGACATCTTGACCCATACATAACTTCTCACTTTGATAGCCATAGCCTCGTAGGTGTGTGTTTCTTATTTGCGTGATGGATCATGGCATGTTCTCACTTGGTCATTGTTGCAATGGCAACCTTGAGTAAGTGATCGTACTTGGCTTTGAAGCCATGTCTGCCCGGCGTTAGACCAGCCAGATGTTCGGGGAGTAAGTAGGAGAGCGGATTACGAATCTTCCAACCATAATGCAGCCTGTTTGGCGTTATGCCGGTGGGGGAATAGATGGAGTTGTTGTACAACCCCTTGACCGAAAACACCTCTTCATCCCACGTTTCCTGATCCGGAATGGGTAAGCTGGTACTTAGTCGACGCTGGTCGGAGCCGGGGCGGGTCGTTTTGCCCTGTAGCCTAGCAGGTGGGAGTCTTTTGGGGTGGGTCGTGCCACTCTGTAACCTAGCAGTTGGGGGCGTGAGGCCTAGTAGAGACTAAGTATCAGGATATAGGGATGAGGCAGGTAGGGGTGAGATACTGAAAGGCTCTAAGACAGGTATTTCTCGATTTGAATATTCTTCCAAAAAACGAAAGGGT